TTGCCTTGGCCGACGCCGCCTTTGTGCATGCGATGGACAATATGTCCACACTTCCGCTCCCCACGGTCCCGACGCAGTGGCCAAGACCCGTCGCTGCGCTTCCTCGGTGGCAATCCCATGTGCAGCTATGGCGAGCCGCTACCCTTTCCGCAGCGGTCGTTTGCCTTCGACGATGCGTGCGGGTCACAAGCTCCAATTCTCGATGTGTGGACCCCGTTCAATGGCCTCTTTGCACTGATCATGCTTGGCGGCAACGCGACGCATGCCTGTACTCACGTGCCGTCGGCGCCAGCGGCCTGCGAGCGGCAGCTGCAAGCGACGACGCGGGCCTACCGCCATCTCATCAGCACGACAAAACACGATACGGTGCTAGCAGCGGCGCAGGCGGTGTTGCCACTGCACCTTTCGGTGATGCAGTTTGTCCTCGACGCACAAGACAACTTGTACATTGACCACATGGACCTATTGCATGGCGACTTTAGCTTTCTCGGCTGGCTGCGCGTCTATGACTGGGCGATGCTGCAGCGCGAAGCGGTTCGCTTTGAAGGCGACCACGACGCGATGACGCTCATGTCGTACGCCTACGCCTTGCTGCCGCTACCGAGCGCGTTAAATGGGTACAGCGCGAGTTGGTATCTCTGGTTCGTCTCGAGTGCCGTGTCGGTCGTTCTCTGCCTCGTTGCGCTCCTCGCAACCGTGCTATGGCTTCGTACGCGCACGGAGCATGTGCAGTGGACAGTCTTTACTCGCGTGGCGTCGGCTGTCTGGCTCAACCGCAGCGCCCTCGTTGTACGCAGTCTCACATCTGTCCTGGCCTTGTCCACGGCCTCGGTGCAGCCGCGCACGGCCAAGACGGCCACGCAATTGCATGTGGACCACCATCCTCTTCTGCTGACGCTGGTCCTGGCCAGCGAGGCCACGTGGTTGAGCTACGCGTGCCACGACGTCCTCCATCCGCTCACAATGCCCTACACGCGCTTGTATGCACCGCTGAGCTCGGCTCTCTCGTGGGTCAGTATCGCAGCTTTGGACAGTCTTGCGCCCATGACATCGTCGATTCACCTCGAACGACACTGCTCCTTGGCCAACATGGACTGGCAAGTCTACTGTCATAGCGGCAGCATTCAGATCGGGGCACCACTTCGGGCACTCACCATCGTCGGCGTGCAATTGGCATCGATCGTCGTCGCATATACAATGATCCGCTGCCGTGCATCGGCGGCCGTCGCGCCAAGTAGCGATGTTGGCGCGCCACCGCTTTTGTATCACTCGTCGGTCATTGCATTTGCAAGCTTGGATGCGAACGGCTGCCTCGATGTGGTCACGGCGGCCATGGCAGGTCTCCTCAACCTGCCGCGCGATCGCGTCTTCCACGTCAACCTGTGGCGCTCGGTCCACCGCCCGTCGCTTTCACTACCGATACCATGCTTGGCCTCACCCCGCAAGTCCAAGGGCCCCGTTTTGCACAAACTGTATGAAAAGGCACGCTGGCTTACATTGTCCGGCTGCGTCGTGTACATTCTGGCAACCTTGACAAGCAATGTCCTCTACTACTCAGTGGTCGCCAACAACCTCAGCAACGACTATGGCTGGGCCGGCTTCAACAGCTCGGGGGCTCAAGCCTTTGTGGCCAATGTGTACAATCGACAACTCATGCTGAGAACGCACGAACCGACGTTTTTGCTCGATGATCCAGGCCACGGCGACTTGAGTCAGCTCTACAACACGTCGACGACGGTCATTCTATGGGCCGAGTCGAGTGCCCGTCGAGAGCTGTTTGCGAAATCGTCCTTGGACGTTGTTGTCGCGAACCTGCGGCGCATGCACCCGTGCCGACTCCCCTGGATGTTTACGCAGTACTGCTGGCTCGACTTGAACAAGAATTGGGAGATGGCGGCCACAGCGTCCCGCCAAGCGCGGTGTGCAACGAGCATGATGTCCAATGGCGCCGTGTACCTCGAAACGGGTCTGCGAAACCTCAACAACTGGACGACGTGGGACACTTGCTGGGGCGATTCCTGGCAGATTGGCTTTGTAAAGCACTTGGAAACCTCCCGCGTAGGACAGACGTGGCTGGACAGCATTCAAAAAAGCGACACGCTCTCCATTGAAGACGAAGTACGTGTCTGGGAAGCCCATGGAATCTCGACCTTTGCGCTGCAGTGGCAAAACTACAAGACGCCAGGCATGGACGACAACATTCTAATTCAGAGTGCACTGGGAATGACGTACCCACTCCAGCTCAGTCAATCGGTGGCGAGTGTTCACACAAGTCAGCAAACGTCGTTTAAAATGTACTGGTCGCTGGCCAGCGATCTCTGGGCGATCACCACCAACACCACTGGCATCGAGGGTGCCAGTCTACTGCGGGGAAGCTCCCTCTTTGCGTTTGCCAATGTATCGACAAGTGCAATTCTGGCACGCAACACGACCTTGGTCCTGCCGCTCACGGCGGGGTTTTCCCTCTTTACAACGGCGGTTGGGCCCTTTGGCGCTATCGATCTCGCTTACGTCCTGCCGCCGAGGAGTCTACTAGCCTTCTACAACGGTGTCCTCCACAACTTGACACACCTCGTGGTGAGTGATCGTGACGCGCAAGCAGCATTTGTGGGTCTCACACTCCAGGCACACTACCAGCCAGTGCCGTTGGAGGTCGTCGCGAATCCGAACTTGCTTCTCGGTGGCGGCAACATCTTTTGTGGCAATGACGTGGCACCATGGCCGGCCGCGAATGGCATGTACGTCGGCTTTAGCGTCACTAGCATGTGCCACTCGGTCTTCACGGGGTATCTCATGCCGACGCCATCGTCCGAGCTGTTTAGTCTTCTTGGCGCAGACATCCAAGCCGCCGACCTTGATGGGACCTGTTACTTGGACACGCTGCAGCCGTCGCAGTGCGCAGCGCAGCGAAAGACGGCCATGGCATTTCTAGCGACCTACCGCGATGCCTTTGCTTCCGCGTCGTTCCTTCGCGCGTCGGCGATCGTCGATATCGACGCGCTGAATGTCTCGATGCTCCAGTACCTTTTGGATGCAAGTACGGAGACGATTGTGCAGCGCTTGTATCGACTAAACGACCCGTCCGATCGCGCCTGGTCGTTCTATGGTGGGGGTTTCTCTTCGAGTGGGCCGCCGGCACGCGCGAAGTGCTCTCTCTTGGCGGTGACGCAGGTCGCATCACGACCATCTCGTCGGCGGCACCCGCGCTCAGCATGGTGCCAAATCCCAATGCGATTCCATCGAGCTTTTCATCGTTATCGGGCTACTGCGTTCAATACATCACGATTGTCCTCATCCTTGTGAGCGCAACGCTCGTGCTCGCCTTAGCATACCACCGCGGCCACATGGAGTGCCTCAACCTTCTCTGCGTCAACCGCATTGTTGGTATGGTCTGGCTCGGCCGACCGTTTGTGCTTGTGCGCAGTCTCTCGGCGATCTGGCTCCTCAACACGAGCCCCCTCACGCTCGTGCAAGCGGGGGTGGGCACCTACTTAACGTCGCCGCCATTAGCGTGGTACACAACGCTGCTCGCCACGTCCGAGATGACATGGCTCGTTTACGTCCTCAACGATCTCTTCTCGTGTGTCTCGCAGCAGTACACCTCTCTTTACGCCTCCAAAAGCTCGACGCTGACCTGGATTGTCTCCTTTGTATGGACGCTCCAATCGCCACAGCTCTACGCCGCGACGATCGACCGACACTGTGTAGCGACTGATATGGACCTCCACCTCACGTGTGTCAGTGGCGTGATTGCCGTTGGCAGCCTGCATCGCCTCGGATACTCGATGGCCCTCATCTGCAGCTGCGTTATCGGGACCTACCTGGTCCAGCGGCTGCGGTACCCGGACTGGCCACCACGTGAAATTCCATCGGTTGTCCTCAACGCGCAGAGCTACTACTTGATGCGACTGCATGCGGTCGATGGCGCCCTTTTGCTCGACAAGACATCGGCGATCATGGCCGGTCTCTTATCGTACGAGTTTCAAGGTCGCGTCTACTTGATGGACGTCAAGAGTTGGCGCGTGTGGCATGAACCGTCGACACTCAATGCCCATCGGCGCGCGTCCCACGTCTTGCCCCGCCTCGAATGATCTCTTGATGTGACCCCGGACTAGGTTCCTCTCGCCACCCTTTAATGGTACTACATAAGGTAATAGACAAAGGTTGAACCGATCCACTCGTGTTTCCTACTACTGTATAGCAAACGCTCCATCAAGGACAGGATGACGTGGGCCGAAAAGTGAGCTCGACAGCTCGTGACACCCCATGCAATACGTTATGATACCCCAAAGCCCTTGATCGCGAAACATATGGCACATGCTGTTGCGAAGCGGTGGTATTAGCTTGGGCCATTCAAGTACTACCTTCTACTCTTGTCCATGACAGAAAAATAATCCCAGCAAGTGGGCTCAACGATCGACGCCATCAAAAGCGTAGCCTCGTCGTTCTCGGCTTGCTTTTGTCAATACTACATCCGATGGGTTTAGGAGATCGCGCCGACTCGACCGCGGCTCACGTCGTTCATGTGATCTCGATCGATGGCACATTGGTCGAGACGGCCGATCGTTGGTTCCTGTGCGAACGTCGTAAGCCGTTCTTACAAGCGACACTAGGAGGGCTAGGGCGAGTTTCGTGTCTCACCAACCTTGCATGTCATCTTTTTATTGTAGTTTTGTGTGTTGGTTTCGAATGCCAACGCGTGTGGGCACTAGACACTATGGAACGACGTCTCGTCCTTCGAATCGCCCGTGTCCGCGGGCGGCAGCGATCGGCAGCACCGGTTTTCAAGTGTATACACGAGGAGCGCCATCCACACAAGGATGAAGCCTGCGAGCTTGGCCATCGAGAGTTCTTCGTGGTAGATGCAAGTGCCAACGAGGAACTGGAGGCTGGGGGTGATGTACTGCAGCACGCCCAGCAGCGTCATGGGCACGGTCTTGGCGCCGGACGAGAAGAAGAGGAGCGGGATGATCGTGAAAACGCCGGCACCAACAAGCAAGACGTGGGTTCCAGCACTGCCGTGGTCAAACGCGGGGTTCATTCCCTTGGCGTCAACCACAATCAAGTAGACCAGAGCCAATGGGCTCAAAAGCAGCGTCTCGACGGCCAGGCCGTAGAACGACGAGAGCGGTGCGGTCTTCTTGACGAGTCCGTACAAGGCAAACGTCAATGCGACGGTCAGCGCGATCCACGGAAACTTGCCGTACGCAACGGCTATGACGCCAAGGCCTGTTGTCGCAAGCCCCATGGCCGCCCACTGCCATGCGGAGAGGCGCTCGCGAAAGAGCACAACGCCGAATGCGACGTAGATGAGCGGGTTGATGAACGCGCCGAGGCTCGCCTCGACGATGTAGCCAGTGTTCATGGCCCAAATACAGATGAGCCAATTGCCAGTGACGAAGAGACTCGAGAGGAGGTACGTACCGAGGACGCGGCGGCTGGCAATTGCCCTCAGAAAGGCCTTGCGATGGCCAAAGCACAGCAGCCAGAGAACGAGGACGAGACAAGACCAGACGAGGCGGTGGCACACGAGCTGAAGCGCGGGCGTCGATTCGAGCTGCTTCCAATAGATGGGAATGAAACCCCAGATTGTGAACGCTGCCGTGAGCTGAAGGACGCCCGTTGTAGTACTCATCTCGGATCCAAATGCCATATATGTGTGTGCGCTCAAGGACTTGAAGCCACGTCGAGGCGAAACACGATGAAGCTTTGGAGAGCCAAGCAGCACCATTCCTTTGGTCGTGAGTGTGTGGACAGCACATAGGTGAGAGCCATCTGGCATCGATGGACCTTCACTGAGCGCGAGTCCATGGTGTCTGAATGAATGGAGGTCGTACCAGGGTCCGCACAGCGCCACCGGCGCTGTCACAAGGCTGGCACTTGCTAGCGCAGCATGGCGGCTATAGCATCTGCCTCTGACCGACTCAAACCATTGGCCATTAGTTCATCTCACACGCTGTTCTCTATGGAGTCTATAAGATGTGTTGCTGTAGACTGACGGTTACTCGACGGTTTCTGTAGCTCGTCTCACAATGCATATGTGGTCGAGATGACCCGTCGTCAAAAAGCAGTCGTCATGACAATGAATATGTGTCCTGCACGCTCGTTGGTATCTCGGAGCGTTCACAGCGAGGTTGATCGCTGTCCTGGCTTGCGATTGGTCAGTATTTAGCCAATAAAAAGCACGTGCTAGGCTTTGACGCACCAATCAGATGGCGCTACAATCCAACAGCACGACCAAGGCGCGCACGGACGACGGAACCTCCTCACTTGCAATTGGCACGGGACGCTACCACGATGGACGCGACGCTCTGCAACCCTGTCCTCCTCCGGCTCATCATTGCGTACCAGCACGGCTGGTGGCCCGACAGCCGCGGCTTCCGCGACGACCCACTCATCTTTGCGTCGTCCAACCTCAAGGAGCAAGTCGCTGCGTTTGGCGACCGGTTCGCGCCGTGGCTAGCGCGTCATGGCCTCGACGGCGTCATTGACCTTATGCAACTCTACCCGCCGCTGGCTCCGTGCATTGCGCTGCATGCAGCGGCGACCGGCAACCGTCCGCTGGGTGCTGCTGCCATCGCCGCGAGCAGCAGGTTCTCGTATTGGGCCGAGCTCATGGGCAACACCGCCTTGCTCCACGGCCATTACGACCTCTTTAAAGCCGACGGCATTCGTGTGTCGGTGCAAGCAGCACTCCAGAGCGGCAATGAGGCGCTCGTGCGACGGCTCTACGCGGAGCGGCCACAAGACGTTGCCGACAACATCGAGGCCGCGATCCAGAGCGGGCATCTACCGATAGTCCGCTTTCTCCACGAAGAAACAGACGTATTGCAAACTGTCGACGTCCTCGAGCTCGCTGCCAAGCATGGCCACTACAACATGGTCGTCTACTTGGCTGGAGAAGGCTACGACGGCGATTTCTGCCTTCTCGACTATCCGGCGGCTGACGGCCGCCTCGACATACTCCAGTTCCTGCACGAAGTGCTTCCCGACAAACGTCTCGAAAGCGCGCTGGTGGCTGCTGCGCGCCGCGGGCACGGGCACATCGTCGCGTACCTTTTGGCCAATGGGACCTCGTCCACCAAGGCGCTCGAGCTGGCCGCCAAGCACGGCCATCTCGATTGCTGTCAACAATTGCTCGCCTACGAGCGCACGGCGCACCCGACGCGCGTTTTACCCGTGTCCGTGATGGTCGCGGCCGTCACGGGCGGCAACAATGCCATCATTGAACTATTGCATCCGGTCCAGATCTGGCCCCACGAGTACATGGACACGTGTGCGCGGCTGGGTCGGCTCGATCTTGTCGCGTCGCTGCATAACCCCGGGTACTTTACGTGCTCCAAAGCGGCCATGGATGGTGCTGCGACCAACGGCCACCTGGCGGTCGTCCAGTTTCTAAAAGACCACCGAGTCGAAGGCTGCTCGACGAGCGCGATCGATGGCGCTGCTGGAAATGGCCACATGGACGTCGTCGTCTTCTTGCATGGCCATTGCAACGGAAACGCCTCCTCTTATGCGTTGGCGTGGGCGGCGATGGGTGGCCACGATCTCGTCGTGCGGTACCTGCACAACGTCATGAAGGCGCCGGTGCTAGATGATGCGCCCGAGCGGGCGGCGCGTGGTGGACACTTGAAGGCCGTCCGCTACCTCCACGAAGAAGGACTTGGCCAATGGACCTCCCGCGTCATGGACCTCGCCGCCGCCTCTGGCAACTGCGACCTCGTGGCCTTTTTGCACACGCACCGAAGCGAAGGCTGCTCGGCCGCCGCGATGAACGGTGCTGTGGAGCACGGTCATCTCGAGGTCGTGCGCTATCTCCACGAGGTGGCAGGTATGACGTGCTCGGAGAGTGCCGTGCGCAGCGCCATTCAGCGTGGTCATGCGTCGTTGCTGCGATACCTCGACGCCAGTGGAGTCGACGTAGTCTCGGCACTGAAAAAAGTGATCCACGGTTCGTCGCGCTCGTCGAGCTCTTGGAGCATGCCAAGGCGCGGTCGCCGCCGGCAAAGAAACAGCGCACGTCAACCTACGGCCATGTACCTTCTTGACACGGACGCTAAAACTCGTCGTCCAAATAACGAGAAGAGTCATCGTAGTGCTCTACAGACGCAAAACAGCGCGCATCAGAGTCTGATTGGAATAGCTGTTGACTGCCATGGTCGTCTAGCGTTCCGTGGTCTTTCATGCCACCGCCTCGCTCCACGTAATAGCGTGAACCACTCACATGTCGGGCGACTGCAAGTTACTAGCTGTGCTGTAGCACCTATATTGACGATAAAAGCTTTGTGTGCTTATGCTGCGAACATGATGTCAGCATCGGTTCGCGGACCACAGATCCACAACAGAAAGGAGAGACCTCGGAGGCCGTCAAGCGAATACTACAGCCAAGGTGTACTCATCACGTCAAGGACCAGCGTAACATGATGATGATTCAGCGATGTGCTCCAAGTAGTTCATGTATGGACAACATCCGCGATCCTTGCACGTGACGTCCATCTCTCGCGACACTTGCACGGATTCAAGTTGGCACGGTGGACTAGGTTTTTGTATTACATACAAACATCAAGAAGTGTGTATCTTTGCACTTTGGCGTTTAACGCGCGTTCAACCTTTAAACGCTTATTAAAACGCCACTTTGCCGTTGGCGTGTATCACATGTCGCAGAAATGGCGCCCATTGGCAATGGCGCGAGCGTCGAGCAGCCGCAAGGGGCGAACGCACACGTGGTCATTTCCCAAGTAGCACCATGTTGCGCAGCCTCCTGCTTGCTCTGTGTATCTCGACGGTGACGGCCGTCGCGCCATGCGCTGGCGAAGACGTAGGCATGGCTCTCATGGGCCCGCTCACGAGCCTCGACGCCGAGGGCTGCGCCAAGGACACGGGCAACATGAACCTCATCGGCGGCGTCTGGACGCACGCGCAAGCCACGAAAATCCTGGGCAGCGACCACTGCGCCAAGATGTGGGCCGAGATGGCCGCCAACCTCAAGATGATCCCCGAGTGCACGTATGCGGCGGGCATGACCAATGTAAAGTACGCGGCCCAGTCGTTCGCAGAGTTCGCCAACGACATTGTAAAGAGTACCGGTGCCCTCCCGGCGACGACCGCGCCGGCCCCCGCGTCGTCGGCCAAGGTATCGAAGCCGACGACGCCCGCGTCAACGACGGCCCCATCGGCGATCGCGACGCCTGCCAACAGCACGGCGACCCCGACGACGGCGACGACGACAAGCGACAACCCGACCACGACGGTGCCGGTTGCAGATGCCACATCCAAGCCGACAACCGCGCTGACAACCGCACCGACGACCGCACCGACGACCACAGCACCGACGACCGCACCGTCGGCAGCGACCTCGGCGATCCTCACGACCACCGTCCTTGCCGTTGCCGTGACCATGCTCCTGTAGACGTATGGTACTACTAGCTTGCGTAGGCTGTGCCAACTTTATTAAATGGAAACACGCAAGTGTATTTGTCGCTGTTCGATGCAACTTTGCCGTGACGACTGTATTGCAACGCTCCCTTCGATCTGTCTTTTCTTCCCGCCAGTGCCAAGACCGAAGGGGCACCGGAGGCAAGAATTAGGACCACCACTTTTTAGCTTTTTGAGGGAGACAGAATACAGAACTACAAGGGTCTATGCACAGTTCTATTTTGACCCTTGGTGGCTGCAAGCAGTAGCTGCACGAGAGTTTCAATGGTTCGATCGCGGCAATAGAAAGGCCAGATAGGAAGATAGATCCGGCCATGCAATGCTCGTGCGGGATGTGTATTCCAGTGTGGGACGCGCTTCAATCCATATTCCAGTGCCGCGACATGGGGTTCGATACCGGAGCAAGCATGCGAACCATACTACTGTAGATAGTTATTAGGAAGCCTCTTTCGTCTTGAGTATCCTTGGCCCTAGGATGCCACGCATGACACCTTGAACACGTTGAAAAAGGGTACCACGACGACGAACCAGCGCCATTCCGTGCAGTCAGAACAGAGATTCTGCTCCATAACACTACAACCACTTGTAGCATCAAACTATCGCATCATCATTCTCCGTAGGTTGTCGCCACCGCCATGAGTCTTCGATCATCGGTCTCGCTCCCACTGTGCATTGCAGTGAGTAGCGCTTCCTGCCGCTTCAATCCTGGGTTGCATCCGAGAGAGGTTCAAGCAGCGCTCTCTCGTCGTGGATTGGTGGATTATAAGCGAATCATCGCGCGCTATGTTTCGAAACGTGTCTGGATTGGTTGCTTTTCCGCCACTCGTTGTCGATTGCGTGGATTCAGCCCCATTGCGGCCTGGCTGCAAGATCGATCGTGGACCCAACGGCAAGGTACTCTCTTCCCGTCTCCACAGAGACTAATACATACTAGTAGATATTACGGGTGGGTCCATCGTCGTTCGATAAGCCGTACGCCGCAGGCCACATTGACGCAGGTTTATGCCACGTGCGTAATGCTGGTGGCGCCTCACGTCATTTGTAAATTCTCTACCTTTTGCCCACAAGACTCATGGCTGCGTTTGTTATCATGGCTCTGATGGCGGCGACCACTGCCGCGCTGGAACCGTGCGCGGGCCAAGACGTTGGCATGGCCATTATGGACGCGATGACGAGCTTGGAAGCCGACGCGTGCGGCCGCGACACCGGCAACGACAACCTCCTCATGAACGTCTGGACGCACGAGCAAGCGCTGCAGATTGAAGCGAGCGCCAACTGCGCGCAGTTCTGGACGCTGCTCTCCAACGGCGTCAAGAACATCGACGACTGCATTTACGACGCGACGACGGGCATGAGCAGCTCGCAGTACGCGGCCATGACGTTTCAGCAGTTTGCCGCCGACCTCGTCGCAAGCACGACTCCGTCGACGCCGAGCCCGACGCCCAACGCCACGGTCAATGCGACCCACGCCGCCGTGCCCCACATCTTTTACTAGACTCTTCGTATGTTAATCGATCTCAACTCGACGTCCAGTGGACAACCCGACTACATGGCGTTCTGGGGTTGAGGCACAGTGACGTGGTCATGAGGCCCGTTCGTGATGGACCTCCACGTGACTTTGCCACGAATTGCTCGCATAGCTTATCGTTTCGTGGCCATCGTTGAAGAAATGATAGTGGCAGGTCACTCCATAAATATGTGGAAAGACGCCGTGATGCTTCCAGAAACTATGCAGTGAGGAGCATCGCGAGCCACACTAGCTCGACCAGGAGCTCAGGAGCATCATTTGACCTACGCCCACCAAGCAGATGCGAATCGACACACGACGATGCCTCGTGCACCAGGCAACCCCGAAGCGCCAAAGAACGTCGTCCATCGGTATGTGCGTCGCCGGATCGAGGAATCGCCACGCCGCTGGCCGCGCCAGGTCGCTACCTCGAAACATCCCATTGACGTTGATGGTATTTACTTGATGGTATTATTATCCAGCAAAGCACTTGAAGCGACCAAATGCGCAGGCCAGCGCATCGTCGCGCTGCGTCTGCCTTGGTTTTCGGCACAGACGCTTGTGATGGCACTTGGTGCTCGTAGAAAATTGGCGCCACGACGTGCTTGGAGGCCAGCTGGTGCACTAGACGGTGCGAAAAGAAGTGAGAGTTTTGCTGGCTAGAGAACGGGCTCACGAAGAGCTCGTTTCCATCCCTGACATGTATAATACTAGTATGCCCAATCAAGTTGCTCGTGGATGCGAGATCGTCGTCAAGCCTGTCGAAAAAAAAGTCATTCAAAAATGCTATCCAAAGTTGGAAAATATGAGCTTTTGAGAGAGACTTCGGCGAAATAATGTGTACGAGCTGGTATTATACCACCAAGACTTGGTACCCCCACCTCACTTTATGCAGCAGCTCGCAGCGACTCGAACGAAGCGCCGTTGGATCTTTCGGCAGAAAGCCGGTCGCGACCCATCGCCGCGCATACAAATTCCAAGAGACCTGGCCAGACGGCTTGGTCGGGTGTTAACGCCATGCGCTCTTTTCAAGAGTCAGGTGCGTTATGTGGAGCATCGAACAATATTAATATAACAATCTATACAAAAAGAGAAACATTGAGTGATTTTGAGCTCAATACGATAACGCCGTATGCTCTCTATTGTGTCTTGTAAGGTTATCCTCCCCGTATCCGGATTAACACGCTGTATCCGGCGGCCGTATTTCCATCGCATAACGGTAGCAGAGCGGATTCGAGCCGGTTGCCAGCAGCATCGACGATGGCCCCACCGCGCCGCCCAGTCCGCATGACGTCGTCCATGGCCGACGCTGCGGCGACGCCCCATACGCACGACTTCGCGACCATGGTCGATGACGTCCCGCGCCCTCGCGGCGGCGCGCAGCCCAAGATCCCGCCGCAAAAGTCGCGGCTGGGCTGCCTCCGCTTCATCGACTCGCGGCCATGGCACTACTTCTT